TATTTTTTCAAATTAAAACTGAACTTTATTGACTGTGTCCTTTTCCAGACTTTTTATTAATTTATTGTAATTAATTATTTGCATGCAATTAAAAACTAATTTTAAACGATGCCAAAGAAGGATAACTTCTCACGCGCCTACATAAGTACACGCACCCATTTTTTTTAAAGCATGTAACTGCTTGATGTTTAAATCTAAAGAAAATGTAACTAGAAAAATTTAATTTCAAGTAAATATAACTATAATTGCTATTTCTTCTTTCAAATGTTTAACACTTGTAAAAGTATTCATTTGACATTGTGGGTTACCTATAATGCGAAGAGATAGCGCTGTCTTGCAGCTTAAGAATGGCTAGAAGAATTTCGACGCGGTCCGTGAGGGCCGCGGTAGCATAATTGGTCAGTGCATTCGCCCGGATTGCGAAGGGTGCGGGTTCGAGTCCCGTCTGCTGCCTGGTCCGCGTGGAATTTTTTCTAGTTATATTTTCTTAAGCCGATTTTACTTACAAATGAAACTATTTTGTAATAATAAAATTTTGGCGCAAGTGGTTAGCGCGTTCGGCTGCGATTGTTTCAACAATCAGTTAAGCAACTTTCGCAGTGGTCGGTCATTGCATGGGTGACCAAAATTTTACTATCTCGAGCTGCTCCGTGCTCCGGAAGGCACGTTAAGCCGTTGGCCCCGGCTGCATCTGCAGTCGTTAGCACCCACTAATCCGCACTGGGCCCGCATGGTATGTCATGGCCCCAGCTCCCTATTCCATCCATAAGGAAGGCCTGTGCCCCAGCAGTGAGGACATTAATAGGCTGGTGATGATGAAATGAATAAATTTTTTACATAAACAAGTTTCAACGGTATAGATTCACTGATTTATTTATTTATTTATGACTTTTCGCATCCTTTTCAGGATGTGTCGCAAATAAATCAATAAATAAAGAAAAAAAATGGGTGCGTGTACTTATGTAGGCGCGTGAGAAGTTATCCTTCTTTGGCATCGTTTAAAATTAGTTTTTAATTGCATGCAAATAATTAATTACAATAAATTAATAAAAAGTCTGGAAAAGGACACAGTCAATAAAGTTCAGTTTTAATTTGAAAAATAAATAAATAATCAAAATATTCAATTAAAATCGCTACTGAATATAATTCATTAGAACATATGTGATTTGCACTTGTATGAAACTCAAACACGTATTCCGAATATACAAACTAGAAACATGTGGATAAATATTATAAATATGAATACCTATAACTGTTACTTTATTACAAAAAATAAAGATGTGGTTTTTGGTTCTACTACACCAATGGTCAAGAGATGGCGCTGTAGTCTCCTGAATCGCGCTTTGGTTCCGTTGTTCCAGATTAATAAATACTTTTGATAGGCCTTCACAATGCAGTCGTTAGCACCCACTAAATAGAGATTCTATTTCTATTTTGTTGGTAGATTTTCTTAATGTGCGGTAAACACAAAAGTAGCTAAAGTCGCTAAAGCGACCAACTTCATGCTGTTAATATTTTGTGTTACAGTGATGCGCGCTCATCTTAAAATTTCACTCTCATCATTTTTTCATAACGCGCCTAAAGAATATAAAATAAATATTTCCAACACTCACACCAATTAGCCTAGTCCCAAAGAAAGCACTGTAAGGCTTGTGTTATGGCATGCTAGGGTAACGGATATAATAATACATATACTTTACTTAAAGAAGTATATTTATATAGAAATACATATTAAACATCCATGACTGGATACAAATGCTCGTCTTCGTAGTCATCACACAAACATCTGCCACCACCGGGATTCGAACCCGGGACCTCTCGAGTCGGCGACACCATGAAACCCGGCGTACAAACCACTCGGCCATGGAGGTCGTCAATGTATCTATACCTTTAAAACTTGTTTTATTTAATGGGTGGTGTGCGATAAAACCTAAGAAACAATTTTTACAGTTAATTTCGGCTCGAATGAAACCTCTCCCTTACCACTTACCCAGGATAATTCCATAGTATAATAATAATAATATACCATTTATTTTCTCCTCACAAAAGGTGTAATAGTACAATAGGTAACTGACTTAATCAATACAAATACATAAACCTATTATGTGGGAGACTGGTGCCCGTAAAAGGCCACTACGAATAGCTACCTGTACTAACAGGTCACCAGGCACAGACTATCATACATAAACTATACGTGCATATCTTAATAGAAAATTTAATACCTACTCCAAATTTGAAAAATACATTGTCAGGGAGAAAAAAAATGACTTGTAATCTAAGAAGTGCTTTAACTATAGTACATCATCCATCCATCCATCCATCAGCCTTTTTCCGTCCACTGCAGGACATAGGCCTCCCCCATAGAACGCCACAATGCGCGGTCCTGCGCTATCCGCATCCAGCGGCTCCCAGCATATTTGACGATGTCGTCAGTCCACCTTGTTGGGGGCCGCCCCACGCTGCGTCGTCCGGTACGTGGTCGCCACTCGAGGACCTTTCTTACCCAACGGTTGTCAGATCCTCGAGCGATGTGGCCTGCCCATTGCCACTTCAGCGTGTTAACTCTTCGGGCTATGTCGTACACACCGGTCCTTCTACGGATCTCCGTATTTCGGATCTTATCACGTAGGGAAACACCGAGCATAGCCCTCTCCATAGCACGCTGCGCGACTTTGAGTTTTGTTATGAGGCCGACATTCAGAGACCACGTCTCAGTCCCATAAGTCATCACTAGTAACACACACTGGTCATAGACCCTTCTTTTCAGGCACTGGGGAATTTTGAAGTACATCATCATTATCCCTTAATATTAGCCTTACAATGCTAATTGGTGTGTGTAACAGATGGTGATCAAAGAAACGGAAGGCATGTACCCCAGCTGTACCTAGCACATATTCCTATCATTCTCAAGCCAGCATGACCTAAGAGTCATACTTCAATGACTGAAGTCATTGAATATCAGACGACTAGATGGGAATGACATCAGGCAGACGAACAGTCACCTGACTGTGCCTTATCTAACAGGACCGAAGGTTAAGTTAGGCTAATAATAGTGCTTAAAGTACAGTGAACATTGTTCATAAAACTGGTATAATATATGTGTTTTCCTTTTTTATTTGTCTAGATTTTTCTTCGATTTCAATATATTTAAATATTCATCACACACGTACATTATTTAACAACTAGACCTTTTCCTGATGTTCATAGTTATTTAAATTTCGCTTTTACATAAGTTACCAACAGCATCAAATTAAGAGACTTCCTGAAAATTTGCTTAAGAATCTTAGTTATTAATAAGTTTTTGAATTTCGGTTAGTGATGAAATAGGGCAACGATAGATGGTTTATAGATCTTTAATAAAAACATAAAATTTTCTATTAACTATTAACGGGATTGTTACCATGTACCTTGTTTTATATGAGTCTCCGATATTTCGGCACTATTGCAAGCGCCATGATCGCCATGATCAAAAAGACGTCGTCAGAGGGTAGACCGATATGTTTGCCAATAACATCTACCCGCAATAACTTCAGTTACTCCGTGATCATGGCGCTTGCAACAGTGCCGAAATATCGGAGACTCATAAAAAACAAGGTACATGGTAACAATCTCGTTAATAGCTATAATAAAAATTTCTTGTTCGTTTGACGAGAGACCTGACGGTATGACGCACATGCCTTGGAGGCAGGGTCGTCCTCTTGTATAGAACGCAACTTGCGTGGATACGCTTGCTCCGTGTCATACAGAAAGTACCTCCCTAGCTTCAGGCGCAGTGGCAGCTTCTGCCGAGTGCTCCATGCGGCACAATTATTCAGCTCTGTGCAGATATCAATGCTTCAATTACATTTACATTATACAACAATTGAAATGTAATTGTTGTTTATAGTAAGTAAAATTAAAATTTTAAATATTTAAGTCACTCTAATGTATACAACAACATGAAATGAATAAATTATTATTATTACATTCAGATCTCAATGAGAGCTACATATTTGTGCCGTTTGGTGTTGATACTGTGGGCCCATGGGGTCCAAGCGCTCGTTTCCTTTTGAAGGAACTGTCAAAGGGGCTCACTGAGGTAACTGATGATCAAAAGGCTGGCAGCTATCTTAGTCAACGAATCAGCCTTGCCATCTAACGTGGCAATGCTGCCAGCCTATTGGGTACCATTCCTGACGCGCTGGGGGGTGATAAAATTTTATTTTGTAAATTATATATTACTAGCAAACCAGTGAACCAAATGTTCACCAAAACCTGATTTAAAAAATGTATTTAATTAATTGAGAACTTCGGAGATTTTGTGTGGTTTCGTTTGAAATTATTTAGTTAAAAAAAAAAATAACCTTTAAATAGTTAATTAAAATTGTGATAATTACAAAATAGAAATCACGTGATTTCTCGAAAACCGGAAGTGCTACGTTACTCAAATCCGGTTTGAAGTCTTATCAGACTATTCTTAACTTATAACTTAAACATTCTCTTTATCTATCTCTTACGGTTTGGCCGCTGAAACAGCACCACAGACGGACGGACGGACGGACTTGTCTAATAGATAAGAGATTTAAGTACTTAAATGAGTTTTTGTTATTTAAATGTATCTATTGTTTTAGTAAATAAACAAATACTCCTAAGAAATGGTTTCTTATACTACACTAAATCACCATATTTGTACATAGAGTACTAAGCAGTTTAACGTAGTGAGCTAGATTTGATTAAATATTTTTATCAAACGGTTGGCATCGTCTCTCTATTATTTCCGGAAACAAAAAGAAAATCGTGTGAGCTCATTTGATTGAGAAACGGTTCAAATCAAAATATATACGTGTTCATTTTTGCAACACACCTTCGTCATTTCAATAACAAAAACACGTCACTAACAACAACAAAAGACGCAATACGATGACTCATTAAAGTGACACGACATAAAATAGACTCTTACCCACACGTCTTAAAGTGAATAATATGAGGTCAATGCATTAACCACATCAAACTAAACTGTATCTTAGTCACGTACTTTGACCAATGAGAGCGTGCCCTTACTAACGAGAAACATTTATACACTAACTCTACAAATGCAGTCACAGTTGAGAGGCAGATGTGAATAGTTCAAGTTCATTGGTGTAGAATATTTGATTTGAACAAGAGACGATTGCGGCTACCATTTTCAAAAGTTTAGAATTTCGTACTCGATAAGATTAAAAAGAAGTACCTAGATTACAACATTTAAAATGCAGTGGTTTGGTTTCGTTTTGTTAGCGACGGTTTCACAGGCAGCCGTTCTACCGACTAAATCTGTGAATGAGCAGGAAAACGATATACCAGTGCCTAATCTAACCAGTTTGATTGCTGAGGACCCTTTCGCTTTTAAATTGGGATGGGAACCAGTGAAGAGTGACGCAGCAGACCCCATTTTGGGATACAAGGTCAGTATAAACAATGTTTGATACATTTTTTTTTGAACTACATATTGGTTCATCTTAATGGATTTGTTTGTATGTGTTTTGTCAAGATTCTAAAAAGGCCCGACAAAAAAAATGACGTATATTTATTTGAAGTACTATTTCAAAGATAAGACCTTTATAATTTTGGATCATAATATTATATTGTTGTTGATAAAACTACGTTAAGTTTCCACGGTTCTCTTAATTTATCAATTCAACATTACATTTTACAGGTGAAGATTTGGGAACAACCAAAAAGGAAAGTTTATAAATATGAAACAGTAGATGGAATCAAAGAATTAGTAGAAGAATATGCACCAGCCAAGGTAATTAGAACTACGAATTTCGATAATAACTTATAGCATGCTTCTAATTTCATTGCAAATTATAAATAATTAAAAATTTAAGCAGAGACCACTAAAAGGATTAGCAGGATATAAAACAGCAGTAATAAATAATATATTCCAGATAACACCCAATAATTATTCAGTGTCTTCACAAAAACTAAACAGAGCTTATACTATTGAAACTAAATGACCCAGATAAGCATGTAAAAAAACCATGAATCGCAAATAATAAGTTTTGTTTATCGCACGAATACTTCTACCAGGATTCGAATCTAGGACTTTTAAAAGTCCAACCAACGACTCTTAAAAGTCCTAATAATATAGCAACAACCGATCGGAAATCGCTCAAACAATATTATTTTATTTAATCGACGAAATAAACGGAGGAGTTCTCAAGTCGACGCGTATATACGCTAACTTTTTTCATAGTAGTTCAATTTTCGAACCATTCATGTCTGATGGATCTAATTTCCCATTTACAACTTAGGTTGTTATGGCACCGTTTCCAAATAACTTGACTGAAGATAAAAAAAGGTTTATTATTTTTTACTTTTCGGCGGTTTAATTTTTTGGGAGCAATTGTGACAGTTAAACCTCACGCGGAATAGTTCTAGATTTTGCGCTAGTTCCTAGTAAATTATCATTTGGTATCCATACCTACGTGGAATAGACAGGAAGCTGTGAATCATGATAAGTCGTATGCCCTTCATTTAAAATCTGTTTTTCCTTAACCTCATTATTTCCTTCCTTTTCTTACCTTTACGAGAAAAATCCGTCTTTTCCAAGGTCATCAATACTGTGATTTAGATACTTCATGACGTACAGAATTTCAACGATCCCGCATTTGATATTGGCTAAGATGTTGCCAAAAAGAGAAGCAATACATCGGCAACATAATTATTGCTTTCAACAGATACTGAACCTGCTATTTTAGTAATCCTTTTAGTTTACCGTAATCAAACGATGACTACGAATCCTCTGCCGTCAGTGAAAGCTACATTTCTTTTAATGTATTACATTATGCAGTAGAAAGTTAGCATCTGATGCATTTTTGTCTTTATTAATTCCTAGATCATAATTTGAAGGCAGATGTAGACTTAAATTCTATTGGGGTAAAGTGGTTTCTTAAGAATATATCTATTAAATATGTAATTTACAATTTTATACTAGAAAAGGTCAAAATCCATTTTTATATTTACTTACTTATTATCATCAGCAACAAGTATCCGGTCATGCATACGTGCAACATTGTTATTCTAATTAACATTAACTGATAACCGTATCTGTTATACTCATTAAGTACTACATATTTGCACATCAGTGTCAAGAGCAAAATGTTTTGTGTTATTTTTTTTCTATTTGGTACTTCCATAATTTGTCGCTCGCCATGACGCATAGTTAATTTAGTAAAATAACCCGTACAAGTATCTACGAGTATGTAAATGTTGATGAGTGGTTTGAACTTACTGTCCAATCGCACTTCTTGTTGATTTAATATAAGAAATGCAGTCTATTTTATGTTTTCATATCCTTCAATGCAAACAATAGTTTGCGTTCTCAGGCTTATATTATACTAAAATACGTATACACATTGCCTTATGAACATAGTTAACTGATGGTGAAAGCCGCATCAGACTTCGTTGCATGGTTTAGGAGAAGTTCATCATCACCATCAGCATATTAATGTCCGGACTCCAGCCCAATTATTAATAAAGGAAGACTAGGCTGACACTAGCTACTCCGTGTTTTGTTCTTATCACTCAAGTGGCATTTGTCATTCAATGAGCAGAGACAGCGTGATTAGCAAACTGAAGTGGCAGAGGGCTGGTCACATTAGCCGCAGAACTGATGGCCGTTGGAGCCGGAATGTTCTTGTGTGGAGACCACGACTCGGTAAACGAAGTGTAGGACGCCCTGAGACAAGATGGGATGATGATATTCGTAGGCTAGCTGGAGTGGGCTGGATGAGAGTAGCACAAAATCAGGAGCAGTGGCGTCCATTAGGGGAGACCTATGTCCAGCATTGGACGACCATGGATTGATAATGATGATGATGATAAACAGAGACAAAACATAGAGTAACTAACCAAGCTTAGTCTTTGTTTGTTAATAAGGTACAAGCCTTCTATAAGGATGGAATAGGCCATGACTAACCAGGCAGGTCCGTTCTTGATAAATGGGTAAGGAGATGTTAAGTAGCGGAAATGCACACAGACGCTGACAGACAGGATAGACTTAATTTTATACATACTATGCATAGATGTATGAAAACGCTAGGACTGCTGCCATTTTAACATATTAGTATTAATTCCGAGTCTTTTAATAATTATCTAAACAGACTTATAAAATATTAGAGCTGTATAGAAATCAAATGCTATTTTCCTTTCATATTCATCTGAACTCGAATTAAATGCAGACGGAATATGATAAAATGCGTGAAAATATTATTTTTTCATCTCTATCCGTTTGATAGAATATAGTTTTAACAGAGTTAATCATAATATAATTTTATGTTTCCAGTTCCCAATGACCAGCGACGCACCAGACTTTGAACCGAAAGAAGTTGTGATAGTCAAAGCTGATAAACACGAAGCCAAAGGCAAGAACATGAACCAAGGCGTGATCTACGAGTTCAGAGTCCAAGCGTTCACCAAGAACGGCGATGGTCCACTATCGGCACCGATGAGGCTACAATTCCAGAAACCGAAAAATGACGATCACAAAAGAGACATGTATACTATGGCATAAAACACCTAAAATGAAAGTGATGCAGAATTTTTCTTTAGTTTAGCAACTTGTACTTTATCAACAGCTATACTTTTACTTCTAATAAAGAAAGTGACACTCTATTTGTGTTTTTCTCAAAGTTGGATTATAATTTGATGTTACATAAACATATCTGTTCCTAGCATGGTTGATAGGGTATAAAAATATAAAAAAGTATGTAGCTCACATATTTAGCATTGATTGGGTCTAAAAATATGATATCAAACATTCAAATTTATAATCGACATTAAGTGAATCACAAAATTACAGGTGATCTTTTTATCGCACTTCCTAGTTTTAATACATGTATCTTGTATCCTTATAGATTAGCCTAACCAATCAAAACTATAATCATGCTAATTCCTGAGTATTTAAAGGCCAAGAATACAAAGTTTCATTCAAAGAAGCAGTCGGTGAAGTAAAAGCCACAATACACTTGAAAATTCATAAATCTGTAAAGATGAAGACGTTAATAGTACTGACGTGTGTTATAATTTCACAAGCTACAGTCATAAGAAATAGAGTAACTGATTTACCAGCTCCACGGCTAGTGAGACTGACTACTTTAAATCCCAGAGGAATTGGTGTAACGTGGGAACCTGTTTATAGTCCGTCTTCTAATCCAGTTGTGGGATATAAGGTTGGTATAATTTTACATCTAAGCTAATTGTGGTGATTGGTAAAGTATGAATCAAACAAAATAGTCGAAATATTAAGAGATAATGCTAACTTAATAAAAAGCAAGAGAAAATCCTATACCGAGAATGCTGAAATTACTGCTCGTGATTTATCAATATTCAAAGCAACATCAAAATATTAATCGATGTTACCAAGTCCTTGCTTATTAATGAATCGATATCTGATGATAAGACAAGGGAACAAATTAATTAGCTAAGAGGTAGTTCTGTTGTCAAAACAACAGATTACATTACAAATGATAGTTGGTTTCGAAACAACAATCATAATCTTTGTTCAGGTCAAGGTTTGGGAACAACAGACAGGGATAGTGTACGAGTACATAATGATTGATGGTGTTCTTCAGCTGGTTGAGAGGGAGGTATTAGTTCCGGTGAGTCGAATTTAAACTTTTGTAGTAGCATAGACTAATAATCATCTAATGACGTACCTATGAACATGAAATTGATTTTCGCCGCGCATCTAAGACGCATGTGACCTAATCTTAATAGATTTGCGGCGATTTCGCATGCGTCTAGTACAACCAATTTTTTATGGTGACAATGTTATTTTATATTAAAATGGTGGTAAACAAGCATACGGTCTGCCTGTTGGTAAGCAGTCAATACAGCCTATAGATGCTTGCGATACAAAAAATATCACTCTCGAGGTTGCCTTCCCTGACCCAATCCCTTGCCCCGTCTAGCCCTAGAACCTTACTCGTCGACAGAAACACAATACCACCAAAAGAAAGTGTTATTTTACTGAGGTCTTCTGTAAGGTGGAGGCCAATTCCCCAGACCGGCCAATTTGAGAGGAAGAACCGCAATGTCCTGCCTCTATTAAAAAGTGCATAGGCTTGAATACTTGTCGCAACATATATATTTTTTTTTTTTTTTTTTGTGTGTTTATCTGCAATCAGTAATTTACTATAAGCAGATGTCATGAAAGTTGCTGTCATGTCGAGCGTATCCTCCATTGAGGATATCTTCTCGAAACATATATGGATGCAAGAACTTGTCTATTAATATAATTCTGCTATACCTGCGCTTTCTTTTCTTTTTTGCGACTGGTTTTAGCAAAGACAGCAATAGAGAAGTATACGCAAAGCTCGACATAGATGGCGCTGTAAACGCTTGACCCCAAACCACAGCCGAATATTGTAGCTGATAAATTTTTAAACGTGTTTTTTTGTTGTTAAAAATATTAAATAAGTGGTAAAAGTGTATTCAACATGGTCTGTAATATAGCTGAAAACAGAGTTGAAAAGGAGGGGAGCATCTGTGCAAGACAGAAAAGCTGATCTAGTAGAAAGGCACTCCTTCTATTATTATGCTAGAATACTCATTCTCGGTACATAGATGCATTTTTCATGATTATTTTAATAGTTCATGGATCTCATTTTAGCGGGCTCATTAGTCAAATCTATCTTATTTTTGCATCAGTCAGACATCACATAGAGTTAGGTTACCTCTGGCTAAAATGGGAAGTATAACATTGGGTTTTTTTACAGACTTGAGGCATATGACTGCAATTTTAATTTTGGTGCAGTTTTTTCTGATCAAAATGAAGACATGCCGAAGCAATTACCTGTCCCAGATACATACCATGGTGTAAACAGCAGCTCAGTTTTATCCCCCCCCCCCCCCCTTCATAGCAACATATAAAATTATATTTTAGTCGGGAAGCGTGGTCACCAGGCGCAATCACTCATGCAATAGCATGACTTCCACGAATGGTACAATACCTTCGGACAGTTGAAATCTATACATTGTTTCTTTGAACATTACAGTTTCCGAGTGGAATTCCCGATTGGACACCAAAAGAGGTTTCAGTGCATGGAGTCACCACCAGTACCGCTCAGTTTTATTTGGTAAAACCGGAGTATACGTATGAGGTCCGAGTCCAGGCTGTCACCTCAAGAGGAGAAGGACCTTTGTCCAATGCTATGAGAATACGTTTTGAGGATAGATACTTATAAGTTGTTACGTATTTTGATTATGTTAAGTTATTATAGGTCTATTTTAATATGTAATATGAGCATACTATAACATAATAATAAATTTGATATAATAAATACTTACTTTTTTTTGTGTGCTTTATTATTCTTTGCTTTTCCCTCTTGCAAGCAGTGTTTGCCTATAATTGTCTTTGTATATAACTAAGTATTTGATAACCTAAGTACCATATGCATGTTTTTGTACACAAGTTGTTGGTAAATCAATAAAACCAAAAAAATACCTCTATAGCCTCAGATCAGAGCTGAATTGAGAAATGTCTAGGATTTTATATTATTAAGGATAACAATCTAATTACATAATTATATATAGATATACTAGAACAATAAAACTAAAACTAAAAACCTTAAAAAATAAAAATAATAACTAAAATATTTATTAAAAGGAGTCCCTTTAGGCAAGGATCCGAAGATACTGGCAGCGTTACCTCTTTGATATAATATAATACTTACTTAAAATAACATTTTGTTTTTTTAGCTGCGTGAAATTACTAGGAAGGAATCCACAGATATCCTCGCTTCAAGGATCTTCCCTCCTCCTCCTCTTCTTCGCAAGCTTCCGGTGGCGAAGAAAGGCGTCAAGCCTTTTCTAGAAATTAAAAAAGGGTGCGTGTTTCAAAAAAATATGTTTCTTTTTTATATCAATCTAATTAATCCAATACGGTATTTAAAAGAAAAATACATATAACTCTCACGTGGAGAAGACGTAAACTTTTGAACTGATATCACAGAAGCGTAATAATAATACTACAACCACGCTCAGAGACGTCAATTAAAATTAACGCTCGACAAATTTATCTTATTTTATTATTGTTACCCCAAAGAAAGAGAAAGCATAAACTGTTATAGAATAGAATTTTATTCATAAAAATGTATTTATTTTATTGATTTAGGTAACAAACGGTCTCTAACAGTAATATTTGCTTAAATTAAATAATGTATGACTAGACCTATAGTACCATAACTTAAATTAATATTATGTTTAAACAAATTGAGTCTATGAGAAACTTCTTAGTTACTGTTTACAAAATGTTTCAAAATCTTTACAATCTACTAGTACAACATCTCGCGAACCAGTTTTCTGTAATTATTATAAGTACTTGAAAAAATGTCAATATTGGTCAGGTTTTTGTTATAAAAACCAAGTGATCGCCTCAAATAAGAGTTATTTGTGTAATTTGTGCGATATGGCGGGACATAAAATGTACTCTTAGACCGTGAGGAGGGACGAGGAACCTTAAGGTGGATTTTATCTAACAAATTAGTGCAATCAATTCGACAATTAACTATTTTATATAATACCATAGTGTCCAAAAAGTATGTCTAATTTGTAATGGGGTTATGTTATATTTTGAGGCACAAGTCCTGTAATCGTTTAAAATATGTTCATCACGATAGCTTATCTGCAGAATACCTTTGTTGGCAAAAAACATAATCCTTCTTAAGCTATTTTCTACTAGCACTAATTTTCTAAGATAGGTTAAGGTTAAATCAAAAGAATTACAAGAAAAAATAACTGCCGAAGGTTCTTTACATTTCATCTAGCAGTTTAATTTTTCTAGCAATTGCATACTTATACAACATCATACATAGGAAAAAAAATAGTTTGACAACATTATTCCAAACTAAACAGCTATCGTCCTAACTGGACTCTAATCAAATTTAAGAATAAAGTCCAGAATAATAAGACCACTTATTATTCTGGACCTTGTGTAAAACAATTACATAAGAATTAATTCACTCCATGTCACTGTAATATAAACACTATAATAAGTAAGATCTAGCAGGTAGGATTCTACGTTAATAAGAAATAAGATTTTCTGAATAAAAAATATGTTCAAATTAATGTAATACACAATTTGATTTGGTTACGAAATATTGCCTTCGTGTAGGCAGATGTCCCACCGCCAGCGAGGAAACGACTGACTATCGACCATGTTCTCGCTCAAGAAACCTAAATTCCGTGTAAATAAAAAAAAATGGGTGCGTGTACTTATGTAGGCGCGTGAGAAGTTATCCTTCCTTGGCATCGTTTAAAATTAGTTTTTAATTGCATGCAAATAATTAATTACAATAAATTAATAAAAAGTCTGGAAAAGGACACAGTCAATAAAGTTCAGTTTTAATTTTAAAAAAATAAATAAATTATCAAAATATTCAATTAAAATCGCTACTGCATATAATTTATTAGAACATATGTGATTTGCACTTGTATGAAACTCAAACACGTATTCCGAATATACAAACTAGAAACATGTGGATAAATATTATAAATATGAATACCTATAACTGTTACTTTATTACAAAAAATAAAGATGTGGTTTTTGGTTCTACTACACCAATGGTCAAGAGATGGCGCTGTAGTCTCCTGAATCGCGCTTTGGTTCCGTTGTTCCAGATTAATAAATACTTTTGATAGGCCTTCACAATGCAGTCGTTAGCACCCACTAAATAGAGGTTCTATTTCTATTTTGTTGGTAGATTTTCTTAATGTGCGGTAAACACAAAAGTAACAGCATGAAGTTGGTCGCTAAAGCGACTAACTTCATGCTGTTAATATTTTGTGTTACAGAGATGCGCGCGCATCTTAAAATTTCACTCTCATCATTTTTTCATAACGCGCCTAAAGAAGTATAACTTCAAAAACATGCATGTTACATTAATAGTTGATCGCTGACTGCTCACACTTTGGCGAGGACTCTCTTCCCTAGTTTATCTCTGAGCGACAATAGATGTGAAAGATAATACTGGGTCGGCGATACTGGCTCAGAGATGCTCGCTTGTCTTATAGCTGGCGCGTGCATTTTTGCGATTGTCTCCGTGAGCGAGTGGCGCGATTAGTCGCCCATTGTACTCGCACACTAGTCCAGCAACAAAACTGCCGGAACTACACACTCGCTTCCCGCTGCTCGCCAACTCGTTTCTAGTTCTACTCGCTTTTCGTTCATCGTCGGCGGCGGGACAAGTGCCTTAAAGGAGATTGCTCAAATTGGCCTAAATGCACAAAAAATATTGTCATACACGGTAATTCTTGGCGTAATTTATAATTTAATTTACAGTCATTAGATTTCAACGGACACCTTTGTATAATATATTTACTTTAAAAAGGACTTTAAATTTTACCGGTTTGGAAAACATACGAATCTATTTTAAAGGCTATGGGTGTAGTAACATTCAGTCAAAAACTGATCGAAGTTGTTTATATAACATAAAAATAAATCTATTTTGTAAAGATCGATAAAATAAATATTTTTTTATTACACTGTGGTATTAATATACAAAACTATATTATTATTTTCACTACATGCAAATGTTCTCAGACAATTAATATAGACGGTAGGCGACATCATAAAGTCTATTGTTATACATTTTTCGCCAAACACCTCCATAAACACATTATAATCTGTATATATGTTAGACTTTAAGGTATCTATCTATGGGCCTACGCCTACGTTGCCTGACTATAAATTAATAAATAAATAAAATTATAAGGTTTGATGCACTAAAAATCTTAAATATGGTTATATTAAAAACATAACAAAAATAATGAAGCTACTGAATATATGGCTATAGAACCTAAATATTTTAGCTTTCTTTGGTTAAGGAGAGTTTAAAAATTGTCTCTAATCTGTGGCTCATTCACAATCATCACACAGTTTCTGTCACAGAGTACCTTATTGTAACCGGAAATGCATAGATGACACCTGATTTTAAAAGTTACTCTTATGTATTAACTTTGAAAACAGGCAACTATCTGTTGATCTACATGCTCTATATACCTGAATCTAATCCATAATTTCTGAACTTGGCTTGATTTCCCTAGTTTACTATATAACTTATTTGTTTTTTATTATTTTAATATGTTCAGTGTATATGGTTTATAGAAGTTCTCATGGGTGTCCGTCAATAATATTCGTTTCTACAGTAATTTATATATAATTTCGAATCTAGGAAACAATTTTGTATGATTATTGGTCTTTAGGCCAAACGTGTATGGAAGCTGAGCAATCTCCTTTATCCTTAAAGTGTCTTAAATTTATCCTAAAAGTGCCTTAAATTTATCACTTATCCAAAACCTTGACTACTCACTCTCGGTCTATGAACTATAATTATGTTAATGACTCATTATATTGAAAACTCATAAATCCCCTATCTGCATTGCTTCACCAGTGATTGAGTAATAATGACAGATTAAGTAATTATGACAATCAATGATAAGAAACAGTATTTAACTGCTAAACTAAACAATTTAACCGTAGTCCTCGTTTGCTCTAAACTTGTTAAACGACATTTAAAATGAAGTTCTTCTGCGTATTGCTGCTAGTAGCTGTGGCTAAAGCCTCGGTTCTGAAGACGGCTGAGGATATCCCAGCGCCGCATTTACTGCGTCTGGTGTCACTGGACCCTCCAGGTTTCAAAATCGAATGGAACCCAGTCAAGAGCAAAGATGAAGCAGATCCAGTCATCGGGTACAAGGTGGGACTTTTTAAACATCTTTATTCTTTCTTTTTTATTTAACTCATTAAATAAAGCCACTTTTTAATGTGCTTAATTTTTTTAGACTTGTTAAAAATTGGTTTCTTTATTTTTGTATTGTCATACTGAACTTTGGCGAAAGTGTGACGATGGCAGTACGAAAACTTTCCTGCTTGGTATAAGAAAGTAACTCTTAAATAGAGTTGAACACCTCTCTGCATGTTGCGATGATCGTCATTTGGTTTTCATCATCAATAAGATAATTTTTCAAGGAAGATTAAAACAAGTATAAGAATAAAAACTAAAGTCGAGAGTAGATTGGTTATTTGTATGATTGTGTTTTGAAAGATATTTTTTATTTGGTTTCAGGTGAAAATTTGGGAGCAGCAGTCGGTAAAAACCTACAATTATGAAACGGTCGACGGCATCCCCACGCTGGTACAGCAAAGCGCTTTGAATCCGGTAAGCATTATGATCACATTCAATACTATATACAGTCTATATATATAACCACAGATCCTTGCAACTGAGCAACGATTCATTCCTAGAATGATACGCGAGGCTATTAAAATTAAAAAAATATCCAAATTTCAATAGGGAAGATGGTTGGTATATACCATCAGCTTGGGAACCCATTATACAAGATATAAAATCCCAACCCCGAGTACACACTGCAAGACCAACGGATATTATTAGTTCTTTTTGTTTGCATGATTTAACATAAGAAGGAGATAGAAAGCCTCTCCGAGTTTGTTTCGCCGGTTCTTCTCAGAAAGGTCTCTCAATTTTGGAACCGGTGGTAGTTTAAGGTAGTTAGGGTCAAATTAATAAACTCAAAATTACAAAAAAGAATTTCAAATAAAGTACTTTATTAACTAAATTAACTAATAAATTCATACAAAGACAACAAAATTTTAAAAATCTTCCAATGAAATAACCGAATTCTCAATAAAAGTCTTTCGAAGGTAGCTCGACAAAATTAAATAAAAAATCATTATTTTGACGATGCAGACCTGAAAAGGCTGCGAAACGTCAATAAATAAATAAAGTTTCGTGCATTAACCCGTTAAAACTAGTTTTATTTAATGAGTGATGTGCGTGAAAACCTAAGAAACAAATATACTATATACAGAGTTAATACCAGTTTTAAGATAATTATATTTTCAAGTTTTAGACATTAAGGGTGAAGCCAAACGAGCGTAATTTTGTGAGTTGTGAGTCGCTTATTTTCGGTCACTTATTTTACGTTCAACTGAATTTCTGTTGAGCTGCCATACGAACATAATTTATTCAGTTACTATTGAGCGTTAGTACGGGGCGTTCGTGTCGTCGAGTGCAATGGATCCATTAAAAATATTGTGTATTTACGAAGCATATTCAGAAGATGAGGCCAGAAAAAGAAACTGGGTAAACCCACGGAATAGTCAGAGGCTGATATGTGGACAGTTCCATACTTTATATGAACGTTTATGTGCAAATCCAGATATGTTTGAAAAGTACTAACATATGCCATTACATGTTTTTCAAGAATTATTACACCACGCAACTTGTAACAAACTTTTGCTTCCCCACTCCTCTTCCTTGCCCTACCCTCACCCCGACCGAAATTCGGACGAGCTTATGCGCATTGAGTCGGCAGACAACTCATTTGCGTTGTCGTGTGGCACCAACTGCCTTTTTGTATGAAACCGAATGCAGCAGAATTTCTGCGACCGAAATTCTGCGACTCACCACTCACAAAATTACGCTCGTTTGGCCTCACCCTAAGTCGTTTTAAAATTTTGTAATTTAAATATTTGTATGTAAATAATCAAATAACTCTTCAAGATAAAGTTGAAGACACTTTGATTCGTCTTAGTAGTTTTAAGTGAAACATAAATAATTATATAAAGCTAGTAAAGCCTTCTCTTGTGGGTTGGTATATCAAAATGCACTAACGATTAGACAGCCATAATATTTTATTTAAACATATATCTGCCTGCCTCGGTTTGAGATGTTCTTTTAAATGTTGATTTCAAAATCTCCTTTGAAATCAATATTTTATAATCTTATTTAAAAAATTCTCGTGTCACAATGTTTGTTACCATACTCCTCCGAAACGGCTTGACCAATTTTCATGAAATTTGATATGGATATTTAGTATTTCTGAGAATCGGTTACTATATATTTTTCATAACCCTAAGTCATAAGGGTTGTTCACCCCCAACATTTTTTTGTATAATAAAATATTTTTATTTTTTTTATAATGTGGCATTAAAAATACATACAACCCTTAATTTTCACCCTTCTATCATCAGCCCCTATTTTGATGGCGGTACGAAGTTCGCTGGGTCAGCTAGTGTAATATATATTTATATACTTAATAATAGATTTTATAACATTTTCTTAGTTATTGCATTCAAACAGTTACTGAAGGATTCTCATTTGTCGATGTGTCGACCTCCGTGGCCGAGTGGTTTGTACGCCGGGTTTCAAGGTGTCGCTAACGCAAGAGGTCCCGGGTAAGAATCCCGGTGGGGGCAGATGTTTGTGTGATGAATACGAGCATTTGGACTCCAGTCATGGATGTTTAATGTGTATTTCTATATAAATACACTTTTATATGTATCAATATCTATTCTATCCGTTACCCTACTAACCCATAACACAAGCCTACAGTGCTTACTTTGGGGCTAGGCTAAGTGTTAGAAATATTTAATTATTATTTATTATCTTTTGATTTCTTTTGATTGGAGCTCGATGGCGCAATTGGTTAGCGCGTTCGGCTGCGATCGTTGAAGTTAAGCAACTTTCGCAGTGGTCGGTCATTGGATGGGTGACCAAAAATTTACTATCTCGAGCTCCTCCGTCCTTCGGAAGGCACGTTAAGCCATTGGTCCCGGTTGCATCTGCAGTCGTTAGCACGCACCAATCCGCACTGGGCCCGCGTGGTGGGTCATGGCCCAATCTCCCTATTCCATCCATAGCGAAGGCCTGTGCCCCAGCAGTGGGGACATTAATAGGCTAATGATGATGATGATCTTTTGATTACCAACCTACAGCTTGTTTTTTTTTCTAGTCAGTATTATTTTTAGTAATCTTTATATATATAATTCTTCTGTGAGTGTGCATGTCACTGAACTTCTCTTAAACGACTGGACCGATTTTGATGAAATTTTTTGTGTGTGTTCAAGGGGATCTGAGAATGGTTTAGATTCACAATTTTGTCCGCTGGACAATGTTTTTTTAATAAAATTTTTTTATGGCGGTACGAAGTTCGCTGGGTCAGCTAGTAGTTATATACTATAACTATATACTTCTTTACAGTTTCCATTACTCTCTGTTCCTGACTGGGAGCCAGCGGAAGTCATAGTTCAAGGCGGCGAGAGTACTTCCACAAGATATGAGAACATCAAAACTGGCCTTTTGTACGAGGTCCGGGTCCTGGCATACTCCAAGAACTTCGAAGGGCAACTGTCCAACGGCATGAGGATCAAACTTGAATAAACGCAGAGACCACCGGTTTCACCACGACACAAATAAACGATTTTAAGAGATAGAAGTTAGGAATACGCATTTGTGATTTAGAAATAAATTACCAATATGTGTTGAATATTGTTATGTATGTATGTATGTATGTATATTTTACTTATTAAAACATTTCATAAATAATGTAGTTTAAATATTAAGAAAATATAACTAGAAAAAATTCTACGCGGACCAGGCAGCAGACGGGACTCGAACCCGCACCCTTCGCAATCCGGGCGAATGCACTGACCAATTATGCTACCGCGGCCCTCACGGACCGCGTCGAAATTCCTCTAGCCATTATTAAACTGCAAGGCAGCGCCATCTCTTCGCATTATAGGCAACCCACAATGTCAATGTGTAATGTAGTTTATTCATTCAAGATCCTTTTGGCCTTATACTTAAATGTTTTATAGACAATAAAATCAAATTCAATTGCAAGTCTAAAATGTTATGGACAAATTGTACAGTAACAGAGTATTTCTTTGAATATAATTAACTCATGTAAAGAAAATATAACTAGATAAAATTCCACGCGGACCGGGCAGCAGACGGGACTCGAACCCGCACCCTTCGCAATCCGAAAGAAGAAATAGCAATTATAGTTATATTTTTTATTGTTTAAAGCATGTAACAGCTTGATATTTATATGTAAAGAAAATATAACTAGAAAAATAAAAAGAAAATATAACTAGGTCCGCGTGGAATTTTTTCTAGTTATATTTTCTTTACATATAAATATCAAGCAGTTACATGCTTTAAACAATAAAAATTATAATTAACTCATGTTTTCATTGATGAAATTTAGAAGATGTATCAGTACCTACTACCTTTTATGATATTTGATTTATAAACAATATTTGAAGTCACTGCCAAGGACCAAACATGTATTATTTCATTTCGTTTATTTCTTCAAAAAGTTACTCCTGCACTTAACTTTTTTGACCTGATTGATTCAATTTACATGAACTATTCCCTTGGCTGACTCTTCTATACGCATCGCCTACGGATGAACTTGGATAAAACCAAGGTCATGTTCAATGAACATGTTCTACCGGAACCGATTGCAATACACGGTGCCGTTCTCGAAGTTGTTCAAAAATATGTGTACCTCGGGCAGACATTGCAGTTAGGTAGAAGCAACTTTGAGGACGAGGTGAATGGAAGAATTCAGCTAGGTTGGGCAGCGTTTGGGAAGTTACGTCAAGTCCTGACATCGTCGATCCCACAGTGTCTAAAGACGAAAGTCTTCAATCAGTGCGTCCTATCTGTGATGACATACGGAGCCGAGACGTGGACACTGACGGTACGGCTGGTCCACAGGTTCAAAGTCGCTCAACGCGCTATGGAAAGGGCTATGCTCGGCGTTTCTCTGAAGGATCGCATCAGAAATGAGGTAATCCGGCAGAGAACCAGAGTTATCGACATAGCCCACCGGATTAGCAAGTTGAAGTGGCAGTGGGCTGGCCATATTTGTCGAAGAACCGATAACCGTTGGGGTAGACGAGTTCTGGAGTGGAGACCGCGTCTAGGCAAACGTAGTGTAGGACGTCCTCAGGCGCGATGGAGTGACGATTTGCGCAAGGTGGTTGGCAGGAGCTGGATGCGAGTAGCCCAAGATCGATCTGAGTGGCGTGCATTTGGAGAGGCCTATGTCCAGCAGTGGACTAAGATAGGCTGTTGATGATGTTGATGAACTATTCCCCAATCACACTTAAAATCTTATGGGGTCTAAATCGTATAAACGAACTAACTGCGTACCTAACTTGTGAAGTCATCGACATAGAAATTGAATGTTTAAAATTAAAATGGTAATTTGACATCAGGTGGTGGCGTAATTTTCCGTGCCTTTTATAAAAAAGCCCAAACAAGCAACTTACGAGGTCGTCAACATAAAATGCTTAAAAATTATAATGGAAATTCGAAATGTCCAAAACAGCGGAGATGGTCTGATTATCCACCAGCGGGCGGTTGTAAAAAGTAAGTGAAGCGTGCACCGCACACCTCAGCGAAATGCAATTAGATTCGTCTCGGGAGAGCGATGTGGCGAGCGGCTAGGCCAGGAGACCAGAGGCCCAAGCAATAATTTTGACTGCATCGCTTCGAAATCATGGTGCAGGTTAATACCAACCGGTAGCAGGGAACAGTGGAGTTTCTACTCCAACTTACAAGGTCAAATCTAGAACAATACTACCTTAGCGATGAAACCCACAGATCTTGAAATGACCTTCATCCCGAGCTGGGGGCCAATCGCCTAACGGAAATGCTTTGGGAAACGCTAACGCTTAGGATTTTATATTGTTATTTCTAGCCGCCTGAGGTTTTCGAATACCTCACGCTCATTTTTTTTTAAATATTGTTATTACCAATGCAGAAGAAAAAGAAAGAGCGCGAGGCATTTGAATACCTCAGGCGGCTAGGAATAACAAAATAAAATCGTAAGCGTTAGCGTTTTCCAAAGCATTTCCGTTAGGCGATTGGCCCCCTGTTCGTGTAGAGCAGTCATCGGATTTGGATTCAGCAATCCAGAAAACATTTGGTTGTATGGATTTCACCACCTTGGAAGTATTTTTCTGGATTTGGCCTTGAATTGACCTTGATGCTGACCCGACTGGATCGAATAGACTCTGGATACGGATTCAGTGACCCGAAAAACAAATGTGCACATCACCAAAACCATTTCTGAATTCACGTTCAACAGAAACATTATACAGCCTTACATTTTCGACTTTGACACGCTGTAGCTCTTCATGTATGAACTTTTGACCATTGGGCCCATGGGGTCTTTTATTCCACGTGTCATGAGCTATCATTTCCCAAAGTTATCATCATCCATCGTTACAGAAAAATTGGCCGAGAGCCAGCTTCCGTAAGAATGCTCCTTTGAAAATCGAATAATGTAAATTAGCTATATAATTATTATTGCATGATTTATTTTGAGGCAATGAATGAATATGATTGAACTTTCTGTATAGATATAATTTAAATTTAAAAAAATACTTAATGGAATTATTAGTATTAGATATCATGGTACTTATAATTGTATAGTAAAGACACTTATTTTAACTATTTTTCTTTTGTTTAAATTGCATTCCATTTATGGAAAATATGTAGAATCTGTTTTGTATACATGTCATCTTATTGTACCTTATTTTTAGCAATAAAGAAATCTAATCTAATCTTCTGAATAACTTGAATGTACTATCACTATTTATATACACATTAGTCAATCCATTCTGATTAAAAATCATTTATTATTTTTCGATACCGTCAATGTCCCCTGTCCCCTCGACTATTGATCCCCAAGCCTGATTTCCATATAAATTGTAGCTAACTCACGTGGCGTCTCTTACTTTTAACTGCTGTAACCGCACTCCCAGGGCCGCCTTATCGGCTCCTGGCTCCGATGGGACAGACAAAAACCTGTCTGTCACATGTACACTGACTTTAGTTATGTTTAATTAATGGTTACTAGAATGCTAGAACTGGTGGAGAAATAGATGAAGAAACTGCATAGAAGAAATGAATGAGAAATCATGGAATTATGGACGACCTCGGTGGTCGAGTGGTTTGTACGCCGGGTTTTCAAGGTGTCGCTGGCTCGCGAGGTGCCGGGTTCGAATCCCGATGGGGGCAGATGTTTGTGTGATGACTACGCGCATTTGTACTACAGTCATGGATGTTTAATATGTATTTCTATATAAATATCCTTATATATGTATGTATTTATTTATAAATTCCATCCATAGGGAAGGCCTGTGCCCCAGCAGCGGGGACATTAATAGGCTGATGATGATGATATGTAAAGTATATGTATTCTATCCGTTACCCTAGTATCCCATAACACAAGCCTTATAGTGCTTACTTTGGGGCTAGGCTGATTGGTGTGAGTGTTGGAAATATTTATTTATGGACCTTTAGTGGCTGGACCCCTAATTCCGGAAAAGAGTTTCTGATAGAGCAATGGGGACAACGAGGTATGGTACAACCATTGATGCGGTATTTTCAAGATTCGTGAACCACGTATCCACGAACGTCCATGTGTCTTATTTTAGTTACCATAAACCACTTGTCACTGTAATTAATAATGCAGACAATGTTGATTTAATTAATATTTAAAAAAAATGATAATAATCTGATAATAATAATTACATGATTTATCAACATTCCTAATGATATATTTATGCACATCTGAAATTGACTATTGTAAAAAGTTTAATGTAAATATTTCGTCGATTAGTTATAACTAGCAAACCAGTGAACCAAATGTTCACCAAAAAAAAAAACAAAATTTAATTAATTGAGAACTTCGGAGATTTTGTGTGGTTTCGTTTGAAATAGAAATCAAGTGATTTCTCGAAAACCGGAAGTGCTACGTTACTCACATCCGGTTTGTAGTCTTATCAGACTATTCTTAACTTATAACTTAAACATTCTCTATATCTATCTCTTACGGTTTGGCCGCTGAAACAGCACCACGGACGGACGGACGGACTTGTCTATTAGATAAGAGATAAATCTATATTAAATGAATAAACATATATTTATATATGTATATTATTTTCATTAATTTGTTAATTTACCCTTTCATACAGTATCAATCTTTATTAAGTTAAATAAACTCTTTTTGCGTCTGGTTAGACTATCGAACTTAAGGAGTAAACTCCAGTCGTGCGTCGAAGCTGACACACACAATTTTTTTCTTGTAACGACAAGAAAATATTAATGCATTATACTCATATTGAGCAGTAACACAAACAGTCACAGTGGCTATATCCATTACAATAATAAGGGCTGAAAAACGCGTCCTCGCATCCATCGAGAGTTTTTCATACAATAACACGTCGGACGCCAAGAAATATATCCGGGGAGTCGGTGGGCAGTGTAATTCAATTTGGCAAATTAGATTTTGCGTCGGTTACCTGCAGCCCCTCCTAAGATGGCGGATGACAGAGCCGGCAGCCAACGTTGGTGCCAAT